AGGACATCTGTTCTCGACGACTCAGCAGTCTTGAAGGTTCATCCATCCTTTGGCTACGCGTAGACAGCGATGACCATCCGCTCGTCTACGAGTGCCTCTATAGGTCCCATAGCGGTAATGCCGAAACAGACCGACTCTTCGACCACGTCCAAATGGCTACAGATTCGTTGCTACAGCCGATCCCCTACGCAGAGATCGTGATCCTCGGCGATTTTCACGCCCACCACGCAATGGCTTGGTCCTCGTTTAACCGATCATGCGGGTAGATCTGTTTATGACTTTGCTTTGGCATATGGTCTGACACAACTGGTTACCTCGCCTACGCGGATCCCAGATGTGAAAGATCATGTACCTTCCCTGTTGAACCTTCTGCTGACCTCTGATCCGGACGGTTATCAGGTCTTCGTCAATGCCCCTCTTGGCGCCTCGGACCGTTGTCTCACGTGTTGACTCACGCACTCATCGCGGTTGCATTCTGCAGGTTGCCGCCGTGTTTGGCATTATAGGTCAGCAGACTGGGACGGGATGCGATCTTTTTTTTGCATCCTACCCTTGGAGGGGGGTTTGCTTCTCGCCGAATGATCCCAGCGTTGTTGCTGATTCTGTCACTGATGTGGTGCTACAGAGAATGGAACTTTTTATTATATCATCTGTGGTACCTATCGGAAGCAGAATCCAGCCTTGATTTGGTCGCTGCTGCAAAATTGTACTGCGTCATAAGCAGGAGTGCTCCAAGGCCTGGGCTCGCGCATCGTCGTCTCGGGATGCAAACACCAGCGCCCTTAAAAAGAAATACAATTCTGCCTCCAGGTCCTTCAAAAGTATCATTGTCAAGGCAAAGTCAGAGCACATCGACAGAATTGGCGAGAAACTGTGTTCGAGTTCGTCTTCCTTCGGGAACACGTACATAAGGGAACTTCTGTTAGCCATCTCTCCCATCTCTGCACAGGGAGGATGACTCACTGGCCCATGCCGCAAAGGGCTAAGCCGATCTGCTGGGCTCTCTCTTTGACTCGACTAATGATGACGGGGGGAACATACCGCCGACCACCCCGTGGAGTAAGTGCTCCATGCAGGATGTCCTATCCAACGCTCAGTGCGCAGAAAACTCCTCTCCCTGGACGTTAACCAAGACAAGTGGGCCGGATGACGTCCCTCCTATTGTGCTGAAGACGTGTGCTCCGGCATTGGCATGGTTTTAAGGCCTCTTTTCCGGTACTCCTACTCCATAGGCGTAGTTACGAAATCATGGAAGACAGCCTTCGTGCACCCGATCCCTAAAAAAGGTAACCGCTCTGATCCGTCCAACTATGGGTCTATCGTAATTACCTCCTTATTCTCTAAAATAATGGAATCTATTATTAACAGCCAGCTCATGCGGTACCTTGAAGATCACCAGCTGATTAGTGACCGCCAGTACGGTTTCCGTCGCGGTCGCTCGGCTGGTGATCTTCTGGGTTACCTAACTCATAAATAGGCGGAGGCAGTAGAGTCAAAGGGGGAGGCGTTGGCCGTTAGTTTGGACATAGCGAAGGCCTTCGATCGGGTTTGGCACAAGGCGCTTCTTACGAAGCTTCCTTTCTATGGGCTTCCTGAGAAATTGTGCAATTGAATCACCAGTTTTCTTGCTGATAGGAGCATCAAAGTCGTAGTAAACAGTGCAGGCTCCGATTACAAGCCCATTAACGCTGGTGTTCCACAAGGCTGTGTGCTATCACTGACGCTGTTTCTTCTGAATATCAATGACATGTTGCAAACAGGTAATATTCATTGTTATGCAGACGACAGCACTGGTAATGCTTTATACACCGGCCGTGCCAATATTTCTCGGGAAAACTTCGCAGAGTACCGCGACAAACTTGTGTCTCAAGTCGAAACTTTGTTGAACAAAGTTTCGGACTGGGGGCGACTTAATCAACTTCAATTTAATCCCCAGAAGTCACAAGTTTGCGCGTTCGTGCGTCATTCAAAGCGGGGATTGCTGTTGGGAATTGTTCGGACTAATTCCAGCCGCACAATTTCGCCATCACATATCGCGACAAAACTCGCGATACCATCCATTTCATCTGGATGACTGGCGGTCCACCACCGTGCGATTTAAAAGTTTTCTTCCCCGCACAACTCCCTTGTGGAATAGAGTACTATCAGAGATTTTTCCGGACCGATACGACTTAGGGACCTTCAACAAAAGAGCCTACTCCTTTTTAAAAGGCCGGCAACGCATCTGCAATTACCCTGGTGTTGCAGTTGCTCATGGGCGGCGGTAATCACTTACTATCAGGTGAGCCGTATGCTCATTTGCCCCCTCTACTACAAAAAAAAATTGCCTTCACTTTCATTTTCCTTTTCTTTAAATGGCTAGTTCATTAATGTAACCATCATTTGAAACTTGGCCGCCGACGACGCAAATATGACTTGATCTTTGGCGTACAAAAGACATTTGACGGTTAACTCGCCCATTCTAAACCCACATTCTTCACTTTACAAACAACTCTCCATAAATAGGTTGAACAGCCACGGGAAGCTACATAGCCGTGTATGACACCTTTTTGGATACCAAAGCAGTCCTAAAAGACCACGTTGATCCTGACACAAGCACTAGAGTCCCCATAAAGAAACCTTAATGTCTGTATCAAACCAGCACTCAACCCAATTGAGTTCAGTGTTTGCCATATCACAGTCTTGTTCACTCTTCAGCCTTTACCAAGTCCTTGAACAATTTATATAAGCTGATGATGAATAAGAGTTAACGTGTAGCGAGCTGTTAAGTCGATGTTTTAGAATTTTTTTTTAAATTGACTTGAGGAATGGAACCCAGTTTAAGAGATTAAAGAAAACAAGCGATGCCCGAACGCAACGGATGTTACGTCTTGATTGACTGTGTTCCCGATGATGGAAACTTCAATTGTTCACAAACAACGACTAGAAAACTGTGTCAGCACTAGATTACCCAAGAGGTATTTACTACCAAGCGATGGGGTGGTTTTTAATTTTATTTAACAGGCGCGGGTATAACAGAGCGTGTGATACATTTTTGTGTCGTTGTCCACAGAACAAGCAGGCGTACTTCCCGATCTTCGGCGAGCAGCACCCGCGGCCGCCGCGTTCGCGGCCCAAGGACGCCCAGGGTACCGTGCGCGCTTGTGCCGCATGCCACCACCACCTGCTGCAGCAGTGGAACACGTACCAGGTGCGTGCGCGCACACCTACACGTGCACACACACACCTGCACACTACACGCGCACACCTGCACGTACACACCTACACGTACACACACACCTGCACACTACACGCTCTAAACATCTATACGTACACACGCGCTCACTTACACATTACACCTAAGCACGAGGGGGACCACGCTCCTTAACTTAACTCCTTAACCACGCTAATTACCAGCGTGAGTGGCGTAGTCCTCGACTGGTACTCGACAGTTGCACATCATGCCTTATGTATGCAGAGTGGGAAGAACCGGAGAAGTTTTTACTGGTGGTGACATCTATGCGTACATCTACATCATTATCCTTAATTGAGCAGCAATCTCAGAAGCTTTGCATCCAATTTTCCATCATGTGGACATGTGTCTTTTTGTCACTCATCTTTAAAGATACAAGCAACTTACAAGCACACGTGCAACTGACGAATTTGCAATAATTATTGAAGTGAAAACTTCTTCGGAATCTCGATGAAACGAAAATGATACTAAAAAGAGACAAACATATCTATAGCATTTGTCCTGCAAATAAATGAGATAGAATACAGAATACAGTGTTTCCTACATTGTATGAAAATAATGCATGTGATCTGTGATCGGTAAGGACTAAGGAGGAAATTTTTTATTAGAAAATATTTAAAAACTTGCGATGATGAAATTGTTTTTTTTTTTAACTGGGTGATCATATTATAATAAATAAACCCTATAATTATCTCACTCCTCTTGCTCTGCATTTTATTCATTCTCTCGAAGTTTAGTTTTCTGAAGGGTCACTCCTTCCGCGTGTGAACTTCACACATGTTTTTTTATTTATTTAAACCAAAAAAAGTTAAGAGGAAATCAAATTATCACAAGCTGTATTTACAAAATTAATCATGCCTTAAAGATACCCTAATTTATTCAACAAACATTTAGATATGACATTCGCAGGAATAAATTTTATTATGTACAATAAATCGAGTTAAAGATATAGCTATTACAAATCGAATAGTAACTAAACTGCGTTATCAAATCAAACTTAATATAATAAAATAAGATAACACAATGAAACAATTTAAATTAATTGAAAATAATAGTTAACTAATTATATATGCACACGTGCACTCTGACAAACATACACGTACGTACGGAGGTTTTGGCGGAAACTTCATCGTCGGCGTCTTGCTCCTCTTGTTTTATTATATAAATAATGGTTTAATGTAGTAATGTACATATCTGGCATGTGAACTATTAGTAGAAACTATAAAGCATTTGTTCCAATGGTGATGAACCTCAAGTTAATGTGCCTGCTTCGTCGCCTTGAGGTACTGTCGTCATCGACTGACTGCTGCTGTCAAAATCTCCCAAAAACGTCTACATATTGTGAACATGTTTTTAGACGAATTAGACTATTAGATAATACAATAAATATAACAATAATAAAACTAATAGATAGACTTATAGACCCCTAAATGACAAAAAAAAATATTTAAAAAAATTATAAGTTATTAGTTTTTTTTTAATTGTACGTCTCCTATACAAGACTCTGGGTTTTAACATGTCAATTTTCTAATACTGTAATCGAAACGAAAAAATATGAATTAAAACGTTTATTTAAACAAAAACGTTACAGTTACTTAGACAGATTCATGATAGCGTTTGTAGCAATTTCGTCATACTACAAGGCATAAATGCATGTTGCAATTAGAGCAAAACACTCTAGCTTTCTTGCTTTTACATCCTGGCATTCGGCATCTGTGATTGTCATTTTGTTCGTCAATCAATGGCAAATGACCGGCCATGGCTGTCCTCAGTTGAACTGGAGGTTGAGGTATATATTTTCTTTCTTACGGCTCCAAGGTTGTGCTTCTTCTGTTGAATCGTCTGAATCTACTTCATGAATTATGTGTATTTGTTCCCTCGCTGGTGTAAAATAAAGTAATGAATTTGCAATTTGCACTTTGAACTCCAAGTAGTCCAAAATGTTTTTTTTAGGGCATTCTAACAATTTAGCTTCATTCCTGTATACAAGCCATCCAACAGCTGCCGCAAAATCAAAGAAGTGGAAAATCAGACGAACAGTCCATTTTTTGGAACGTGCTCTAATTCTGTAAAAACTGATGACCCTGTCCAACATATCTACACCGCCCATCATGGTATTATATTGCTCTATTGCAAATGGTCTGTCAATTTGGATATACTGTTTAGTTTTTTTACACCAACGTCTGCATTTGTTGATGGGTTCTTTGGAATCAACAGATGATGCCATTATTACTGGTTTGTTATCAAACCACTTTAGACATGCCACATTACCGTCACTGCGAACGAGTTGATCCGAAGAACCACGTCCTTGTTTTCTCAACTCATTGTCAGTTTTGAAATTGCAGTTTTTAGGTATGCTTGCCTTTCTAAGAGTACCTGTTGCCTGCATCTTCTTTGAACGTAATTTGTCCAGTAAATCCAATGATGTAAAGTATCTGTCCATGTATAACTTAACTCCTTCAGGCAAAGTTTCAGATAACTTCATTGGTTGTGAGTATTGTATCTCCTTTGCCCTCATACATGAAGAAGTATAAAAGCACACCATCTGGAGTAGTGCACACGAAGTTTTTTAAACCACAGGGGTTTGGTTTTCCTCTTATGAACTGCCGCATTGATACTTGACCCCAAAAGGGTATCATCTGCTCATCTACACTAATATGTTGAGATCTGGAAGTTTCTAGGCAAGCTTTTCTCACAGTTTTGATCAAAGGGTTAACTTTCCAGAATTTATTTTGCTTGGATGCTTCATCCACCTCAAGATCATTTACAAGTTTCAAATTTGTCCGAATTTTAAAATAACGGTCTCTAGTCATGTGGTCTGCTATCATTGCAACCCTTGTCCTGTTTGCCCAATACATTCTAATCCTTGGCAAGCCCAAATAACTCATAGCTATAGATATGCCAAAAAACAATTTAATTTCTTCCTTAGTTGTGTTCAGATTTTGACCTTTCTTCAATAAGTATGTCTGGTTTGAATAATTACTTATTATTTCAAACATTACTTCAGGAATATATCTCAAAAAATATTCAATTGGTTCTTGTAACAAATTAACGCGACTTGCAGCTAAAGGTTGACAGTACATGCCTGGTAGATATGGAGTGAAATCATTTTCATGCTTGAAATATAGTCGACGACTTGAAGTCTGACGAGCAGCAACAGCAGCCAATGGTACATCATCATCGCTCGAGTCGTCGTTTGAACCTTCATCCTCCAGCTCTTCCAGGCGTGGTTCAAGATCTTGACTGCCTTCGAAGTCATCGTCAGAAAGGCCTTCAACGGTAGAATCATTGCCATCAAACTCTAAAATTCTTGCTATGTCGCTATCCGTCATATGGACTGCAATACAAAACAAGTAAATGAATAAAACGATCGGATGAAAACAATTAAAATACCTATAAAAATATTAAGTCTGAAACCCCATGTCCCCTGTACGGGACAAACTAAACGGAATATCTTATTTTTATCTTACATACTTTAAAAATGAAGAAATACATTCGTTTTTAAACTAAAATGCGTTAATTTCAACAAAATCAATTAAAAACTTACCTTGGGCAGCCATTTTTTGCAGAAATTTTCAACCACTAACTTCAAGCTGTCAAAAGTTTACAAAAATGAGCGCCAAACATGGTTATTTTTGCTTTCAATAAGTGACATCTACATTGAAATAAATGTACTAATAATTAGGAAGTTACACTTTGATAGGCGCTGGAGGGCAGTACTAGAAAAAAGGTCTCGTATAGGGGACGCCAGGTCCTAGGAGGTTAATGGCAAAAGTAGATTAGTATGAGTCCATTACAAGGAAAAGACAAACACACACAGGTACGCACGCCTGCACGCCTGCACGCCTGCACGCATTACATGTACTCACAAGGAGGGACCGCGGTCACACACTACCAGCTTCGGTATCAGTCCCACATCATGTCGATATGTTTCGTATGCGGAGTGGAAAGAACCGGGGACCTTTGTTACTGGAAACGAGTCATTCAATCTTAGTGCTCAGGGGTCACAACGCATCTGCATTTTGATTTTTTTTCGAGGATAGATGTAGATGTCTAAGGGCCACAGTAGCTACTTACCGTCATGTGGATTGTGTTGTTTGTCGCCCTTGTTCTATATAAAAAAATATTTTTGTGATCTGGCAACCCCGTTCGTGATGTACCATCGGCAAATATTGTACGGAAAATTATGCAGTGCCTGCTAACAGTATGGGCGTTCGCGCTGCGCAGTATTGGATGTACTAATTTAAAAACCACGATGTTGCCGTGTTTACTCCTTCCATGAAATTGCATACACAAGAATGTCACACTCTGGAATCATTTTCGTGACGTGCTATGTTTACGAAGCATTTAAAAAGCGAGAATGCTATTTATAGCATTGTTAATGGTGTTATTACTCACGTTCCAAGCGATGTTAATATAGATACTTAGCGTAATATGACGTATATTATGTAAAATGATAGTTATAACATTTGTACGAATGTTATTCAACCCGGGTTGCTTGCGTACTGTAAATTTACAGCGAGCGCTAACCATCTGAGCTCCCACGGCTCTGTATTACATTGGATCCAAAAATTACAAATATATGCTCGTTAGTTAAGGGGTACTCTCAACATCTATATCTATACAAATATATAATTGAACATTGTAACGTTAAAATAACAGCGTTTTACTTAATGCATATGAAAGTATATAAGGTAATTATAACAAAAAAAAAAAACGATTTTTAAAATCCGAAACGGCTCCGACGACCAATTTTAACGGGACTTTCACTGGCCTATAGCAAATATTATAAGGAGTAACTTATTCTAGAAAAGGAATTAGGGTCCCGCACGGAAATAATAAACCTCGTAAAATCCAATGGTAAAAAATTAATAATAAAGCATCCAGTCTCCAATATAGGTATCGCCACTTTAGTCCACCAACCTCCGTCTAGGAGGGCGTTCATTGACAATGACAACTTTGCCACTCCTGTAGCGTAAATTTGCAGAGTGACAAATCACTCTTTTCTTATTAATTTTTTCTACGTCTTCAAATAACCAAAACATTCCTTTATTAGTTCTAATCACTTTTCTTATAATACAATTTTTTATCCTGTCATCCAGAGTCACCTCCAAAATATTTCTTAGTGACCGCGTCTTTTCACAGCATCAATTTTCCTCTTATGCGTCTTCTACTACACCCAACTTTCACTAACATAATTAGGGCAAGGAATAACATAGTATACGTGGCCTTATTGACACATTTTGGCTTCCCACGATAGAGTGAAGAGCCCAATTTACTATTTTCCCTGCGTTCACTCACCTCTCTGTCTTTGTCATGTCTACCATTCCTGCTTAAAACACACATTCTGCATACATAACATCATCCACTGTCTCAACAAACTCTCCTTCTATTATTTTTTTCACATATCCCTCTGTTTTACTCTGTTTAGGTGTGTCAGGATCAACCTATGGCACTGATATTTTACAAAAAATATAAACAAAAATTTTGAACCTTTATATACCTTATACCTAAAACCTTATATACCTGTCTATATAATCAAAGGAAAAGACAGATGCTGGAAAATTATTCCACTCCTTTGCTGAACGCAGTACGAAAGACGAGGCAAACAGTTTGGTGAGGAAGCAGTACGAAAGAAGAGGCAAACAGTTTGGTTAGGAAGCAGTACGAAAGACGAGGAAAACAGTTTGGTTAGGAAGCAGTACGTAAAATGAGGGGGAACAGTTTGGTTAGGAAGCAGTACGAAAGACGAGGCAAACAATTTGGTTAGATAGCAGTACGAAAGACGAGGCGAAGAGTTTGGTTATGAAGTAGTACGAAGGACTAGGCAAACAGTTTGGTTAGGAAGCAGTACGAAAGACGATGCAAACAGTTTGGTGAGGAAGCAGTACGAAAGACGAGGAAAACAGTATGGTTAGGAAGCAGTATGAAAGACGAGGAAAACAGTTTGGTTAGGAAGCAGTACGAAAGACGAGCCGAATAGTTTGATTAAGAAGCAGTACGAAAGACGAGGCGAACAGTTTGGTTAGGAAACAGTACGAAAGACGAGGAAAACAGTTTGGTTAGGAAGCAGTACGTAAAATGAGGGGGGAACAGTTCGGTTAGGAAGCAGTACGAAAGACGAGGCAAACAATTTGGTTAGATAGCAGTACGAAAGACGAGGCGAAGAGTTTGGTTATGAAGTAGTACGAAGGACTAGGCAAACAGTTTGATTAGGAACCAGTACGAAAGACGAGGCGAAGAGTTTGGTTAGGAAGCAGTACGAAAGACGAGCCGAATAGTTTGATTAAGAAGCAGTACGAAAGACGAGGCAAACAGTTTGGTTAGGAAGCAGTACGAAAGACGAGGCAAACAGTTTGGTTAGGAAGCAGTACGAAAGACGATGCAAACAGTTTGGTTAGGAAGCAGTACGAAAGACGAGGCGAACAGTTTGGTTAGGAAGCAATACGAAAGACGAGGAAAACAGTTTAGTTAGGAAGCAGTACGAAAGACGAGGCAAACAGTTTGGTTAGGAAGCAGTACGAAAGACGAGGCGAACAGTTTGGTTAGGAAGCAGTACGAAAGACGAGGCAAACAGTTTGGTTAGGAAGCAGTACGATAGACGATGCAAAGAGTTTGGTTAGGAAGCAGTACGAAAGACGAGGCTAACAGTTTGGTTAGGAAGCAGTACGAAAGACGAGGAAAACAGTTTAGTTAGGAAGCAGTACGAAAGACGAGGCGAAGAGTTTGGTTATGAAGTAGTACGAAGGACTAGGCAAACAGTTTGGTTAGGAAGCAGTACGAAAGACGAGGCGAACAGTTTGGTTAGGAAGCAGTACGAAAGACGAGGCAAACAGTTTGGTTAGGAAGCAGTACGAAAGACGATGCAAACAGTTTGGTTAGGAAGCAGTACGAAAGACGAGGCGAACAGTTTGGTTAGGAAGCAATACGAAAGACGAGGAAAACAGTTTAGTTAGGAAGCAGTACGAAAGACGAGGCAAACAGTTTGGTTAGGAAGCAGTACGAAAGACGAGGCGAACAGTTTGGTTAGGAAGCAGTACGAAAGACGAGGCAAACAGTTTGGTTAGGAAGCAGTACGAAAGACGATGCAAAGAGTTTGGTTAGGAAGCAGTACGAAAGACGAGGCGAACAGTTTGGTTAGGAAGCAGTACGAAAGACGAGGAAAACAGTTTAGTTAGGAAGCAGTACGAAAGACGAGGCAAACAGTTTGGTTAGGAAGCAGTACGAAAGACGAGGCGAACAGTTTGGTTAGGAAGCAGTACGAAAGACGAGGAAAACAGTTTAGTTAGGAAGCAGTGCGAAAGACGAGGCGAACAGTTTGGTAGGAGAAAAACGAAATGTTGTACAAAGGACAGTCTTAAAACTAAAAGCCCCAGGCAACCTTTTTTATGTTCAGGATTACAAGAAAACAATCAAAACGTGTGTGGGCTGGCGACAAATATAAAATTATTTAAATTTCTTTTAACCTATTTTCATCACTCCATCCTCGCCGCCACTGAAACACGGGTTTTTTGGTCAGAGGACTTGAGGGTTATTCGCGAATGGGCTGCCCGACTAGCTCAGCTGCGTATATACAATGTGAAATAGCCTCGTTTACATGGATATCATTGGCAGTAAATACTATATATTATTTATTTACCTGCATTACAATTTAGATAACACATTATGCCATAACTATACTAAATATACGGAATATTGTGATAAGCGTGTTTTGTCACGAGCTCACGAGTGCGAGACAGGGACCGTTGTTTTATTTTTATAACAGCTTCACTTAAGGAGCTATCGCTGGGTCAGTTTAGGTCTAAGGGCGGGATCAATTGCGCCGATAATGGCAACGTTCTGATCCCTGTGTTAATAGAGTCCACTTGTTGATCGAAAATGAACCATGTTCACTGGCAATACATGGCATTTTGACTATTCAAGCTATAACTATGTTATTGATCATGTATATTTTGCTATGATACGGCTTGAAACCAAGTTTATTTATAATCTGTTATTAACAGTCTTTGTACTTGTGTTGTTGGCTGTTTTTTTCTTCCGTTGCACTCGAGTTTAATGGTGTTTAAAAAGTGTTTGAATTCCGCCTTCTATACGGAATTAACAAAGGTATAGATAATATTTTATTTGCGATTTTTAATTTTTATTTTGTGATGTCTTTAGGTTGGCATTTAAGACTTGACAGAGTCACAACATCTATGTGTTTTAGTGAGTTATTAAGTGTGCTAGTGTGAATTGGTGCTTTGTTTTGTGTGGCTTGCTGCGAAACTACGTGAAAAGTGAACGCATCGGATTGTCAATTAGCACTTCAAGCCTCAGCGTACTGAAGCTCGAGAGTGAAGGTGACGTTTAAGATATATCTCGTCATAATCTTCATATTTCTGCTTACTGTTGACCTTTTGTGTTATTCTTCTGGGCCTAAAAGCAACAAGTAGAAAATACAGGGGTGCCTTTCTTAGCTTAATAAGACGTGCATGCAACGGTGTTCTTCCGCTTACAAGATTTATAATCTCATTGAATCGAATTCGTAATACTTGGAATGATTACATTGGTGGCAAAGTGA